GGTGTTGCCTCTTGGTCTTGCATGTCTAAATATCCCCACACTTAAGCTTAACTGGTCTGACAAGGGCTTGAAAATCAGAAATTTGTTAAGGAATCTCCCAAGTCTGTTTGTGTGAGGAGAAGGGTGAGCCATCTGTTGCTCTTTGCACTTCACGTTACGATTTTTGTGTGCAAAGAGAACCTTGTCTAATGGGACAAGAGAGATAGGCATTCAAAAAGAGGAGCACAGTACAGCACTGTGAACTGTGAATGCACATTGTCCCCTCTTTTTTAAAAAAAGAATATGTTTGTGTGTCAGTAGCATAGCTTTGAATCAAACACTATTATGCTTCAGACACTGTAGAACCTCTTGGCCACAGCCACATTGTCCTCTCCTGCCTCATGTAGGGGACTGAAAAGCCCTGCAGACACTTGTCTGAGGAAGGAGGAGGTTGTCCTGCTCAGCAATAGAAAGTGGAAGGAGGTAGCAGAGGCAGCACATGGAGCAGTCTACTAAGGCACCTCCTCTCCTGTGGTCTTGCAAAAGGAATTCTTGCACGGACCCCAATCCCTGGCAGTGGCAGATTCATGGGTGGCAGCACACACCTCAGGTTTGGTTTCCTTGGAATTAAGGTCTCTGAAGACAGTGGTGTCTTTGTGCAATACGTTTTTTATTTATTTCTACATATTTGTATCAAGGGGATGTGAGTGGCGCTGTGGTCTAAACCACAGAGCCTAGGTCTTGCCTATCAGGTCAGCGGTTCGAATCTCCGTGACGGGGTGAGCTCCCATTATTCGGTCCCAGCTCCTGCCCAGCTAGCAGTTCAAAAGCACGTCAAGTGCAAGTAGATAAATAGGTACCACTTCGGCGGGAAGGTAAACCGCATTTCTGTGCACTGCTCTCTTTCGCCAGAAGCGGCTTAGTCATGCTGGCCACATGAGCTGGAAGCTTCTCTGTGGACAAACACTGGCTCCCTCGGCCTATAGAGCGAGATGAGCACACAACCCCAGAGTCGTCCGCAACTGGACCTAACAGTCAGGGGTACCTTTACCTTTTTAACATATTTGTATCATGCTGTAGTGACAGACTTTACTGCTAGGGGGCACATGAGGCACATAAACTGAGCCAAAACTTGGAGTCTGACTTGCAGGAATCCACCTCAGAGCCCAAATGGGTCTTCTCAGGAGAAGAACAGGAAAGGGGAGGTGCTGTCATTACCTGCTGAGGGGGGCACTTCTTCCTCCCTCCCTCCCTCCCTTACTCCCTGGCACCAAGGGAGGTTTTCTTGGCAGGGGAGGGAGAGAAAGAGAAAAAGGGAGAGGGGAAATTTTGTTGTCCTTTTGCAGGGGGAGAGAGTGGTCTTGGGGTTGATTGGGAGATGCATCATTGTCCTTTTGGCGGGAAGCTGGGAATGGGGGAGACGGTATGTGGAAGTTGGGGGGAGATGTGGTTCCTCTTTTATAGGTTCAGAAGCTGAGGAAGGAAGAACATACTGTGGTCTTGGAGAGGGAAACAGAAATGGAGAAGGGAGATGGACCTGAGGGGAAACTAAGGCAGACGGATGGGGGATATTGTGGTTGTGGATAGGGAAACTGAGGCAAGAAGAAAGGGTTGGTGAGTAGAGTGAGCAGTGGGGCACCCTGTATTACACATATATATTCAAGCCGAGCATCAGTTGGAAGAGCCCACTACATTAACGCTCCCACAGATATTGCTCCACCATTGGAGGCCCTCCAAAGCCATTGCTTTGAATTCAGCACAGAGATCAAGCCAAGCCTCCTTGTCTCTTCCCAGCCCATTTCAAGACAAGTCTGGTCTGTTGTTCTCTTGTTGAGACACTTGCTGATGATGCCACCAACTGCTGATGTAGGGGGCAAGGCCTGCCCTCCTTAGCCCACCTTCTGGAAGCTTCTTCAACTGGTAGTTTCTGGGTGGCAACCAATCACAAACCTACTTAACAGACTTGGCTGGATACCTTCGCTTGACAAAGAGACTGGTTTCGCTACTTCAGCAGCCTCTTTTACTATTATTACTATTATTAAACTTAATCCCATTTTACAAGCTGTAAACCCACAGACTGGGAGGGGAACAACCAAAGATAACATCTAGACCAGCCTTCCAGCCATAACACTATTCACCTGCCCCCTCAACTGCCGCCTCTTGTCTGTTAATTCTGGGGCGAGTGGAATGTCTCCTCTCATCTCAGGCAGGTAACACTGGGGCAATTCATTCTGCAACAGGAGGAAAGAGTGGAGGAGTTAGCAATGCTCTGTATTACTACTGTTCAGTTTGATTGCTGTACTACAAGCATATGCCTGTTCAAAAGCACATTCAGTGCGCATTAGCAGTCCTTATTTCAATATGGATCTATCCAAGCTTTTGCAAGACAGATCTGGATGAAATCTTGAATTGTCCTGTTCCTGACCATTTTACCATTCTAATTTGCAACCTATCAGAGCCCTATTATATATCTCTCTCTTTCATGTTCACTATAAATTTACATCGCTGAATTTGTGTACACAAAATTAAAATATGTTAATATTATGAATTTTAGGCCACCTTAAAACCCTTAACAGAAAAGAAGTATATAAATTAGGGAGGCAAGAAGGCACCGCTTTCCATTCTGCCCCAGATTCACCACGTGCAGCACTGCCTCTGTTCCGCTGCAGTTTGTTTTCCACATAAACTACACTATTTGTTTTGTTGTTCACCATAGCAATATTATGTCATCTGTGTCATAATGTTATTCCGCCCCATTCATTTTAGTGTGAAGGAAACACAATGCAAATGGAGAGAAAACATGATCAATTATGTATTGCTTGCAGGCTGAAAGCAACCACGTCAGTTGTTCACTGGACTGAGTTCCAGTTTGAACACAGGCTAAATAAACAATCTCTGGCAATTTCTGCTCCTGTTTTTGTTTTTGTCAGGAATGTCCATGATCCCTAATATAAATAAAATAAATAAAGAAAAGGCGCTCATTTATTTGCTTGCAGAAGCCAATAAAATAAAATAAAACCCAAGCTTCACTGCAAGGTCTCCATGGCATTCTGAATTCCTGTACTTTTTTGTTTTTTAATTTGCATAGTGCATCAATTTTATTGCACCTGACACAGGTGCAATTACAGAACTTTAACTATTTAACTCAAGCATCAATCTGAGAAGGCGGAAGCAGATGCATATCAGAAATAGGTGAATACTAATTCATTGTTGCTTCCATTGCTTTGCATTTCTGTGGCCCGGGGGGTGGGGTGGGCTGTATTGATATCCTTTTGTTTTTCCTTTCATTTTATTATGTATTTTGTTTTCTCATTTTGTATTTTCCTGTTGTGAACTGCTCTGGGATCTTTGGATGTAGGACAGTATGCAAATTTAATAAATAATAATAGTATTTTATGTCATTTTGTGCTGCTTGGGTTCCCACCCATGCCCACCCCACCTCTCAGCGCTGCCTCATTAAAGCAGCTGTTTCTTTTTCCCTACTGGATGCAGTCAGCATGAATGTCCCTTTCTTTACTTTTAGTTTCAGAGTTATTAACAAATTTTGTCATTTTTATAGCAAGTCCAATGCCCAAGCGTTGTTCCATAGCAGTTTTCTGTTTGTTCTTTTCAGCTGTTTTTCATGTTTCCCCATAGATTCCTCTCTTCTATGAAAAGCCCAATGGACCATAGGTTGGGGGTGGAAATGAGGAAAGCAATGCACATTGTTTGTGCTTTGAATTAGTCAATTACTTGTACTCAGTGTTGTTTTTTCAGGGGTTACACTTTCTAGGAAAAAAGCGCTGCTTGTACTGCAGACAGCTACAGTATTTGGTGTTTATGTTTGCTTGTTTTTCATAAGATAAACACACACACACACGGCAATCAGAGAAGAAACAGCTAGTAGTTCACAACTGAGATATCTCTAGAGTTAGTATACAGTGGTACCTTGGTTCTTGAACTTAATCCATTCTGGGAGTCCATTCGACCCCCAAAACTGTTAGCAAACCAAGACGTGGCTTCTGCTTGAGCGCAAGAAGCTCCTGCAGCCAATCGGAAGCTGCGTTTTGGTTTGCTAACGATTTCGGGAGTCAAACGGACTCCCGGAATGGATTAGGTTCGAGAACGTTCAGCTTCCAAAAAACGTTCGCAAACCAGAACACTCACTTGTGGGTTTGCGGCGTTCAGGAGCCAATTTGTTCGGCAGCTAAGTCGTTTGAGAACCAAGGTACGGTTGTACATACTTTTAGAAGGCACTGCCTGCCTTCAGCTATCTGGGGCTGATTCAGTTTGAATGATGCCTGCCCCTTCATCTGTCCTAGGGGCATGGTGGGGAGCGAGTATGCACCTTCCCTCCCCACAGTCCCAGTGAGGCTGTCCCAGTTCCCATGAGGGGATGCCATACTTGACAGGATCAACATGCATAAACTTTAATGTGCACAGGCCTCGATCATGTGGTGGATTGACATCTTGGATTTTTTACACCTACGCCCCATTTAAATGTTCTTACAGATACCGATAAAACATTTTTAAAAGGCTACACATACCACAGCTATATTAAAAAACAACTATCAGCAGAATCAAAGTTAAGAATTAAGATGTGAAAGGTAACTGCCCACCACCACCCTGTGGGCAGCCAAGGATTTCAGAGGAGGGATCTGTGGGTGAAGAAGGAAGGCACACTCTTGCTTCCTACCACGTGTGTGACTCATGTTGTGAAAATACACTTTACGCTGACTAGCACCTATTCTAAATATCAAGTATTCTTACTGTTTATTTTGACTGTGGGAAGCACAAGGCTGATGTTATCTAGCTGGAACTTTAAACAACGTAATTTACTTTACAACTGGTAATAGAAACAGAAAGTGTTTTAACGACTTGTTTGGCTTAATTGTATATAGGCACATTTTTATCATAATGTTATACAAGGTGTAACACTTTGAGCCTGCAGTTATACCAATGACTCTTATTTAACTGAAAGTTTTTTGAAAATTTAAATGAGAAAGCATGTTCTCAATAATTTCTTGTCTGTTTTCTCCTAGACAAACGCGTTGATGACTGGCCCTTGATGCAGTCTCCATTTCCCACATTGGCTATAAGTACTCTTTACCTCCTCACTGTTTGGCTTGGTCCCAAATGGATGAAGACAAGGGAGCCTTTCCAGTTCCGCTCATTATTGATTTTTTACAACTTTGGAATGGTTCTACTTAACTTCTATATTTTCAAAGAGGTACCACTCTTTTTACATATATGATTTGCTATTTACAGTTCAGAATTTTGTAGTGGTTTTTATGTGTTGTGAAAAGCAAATGTGTCTTCAGGTGTATTTGAATCAAACTGTTGATTAATGTGTTTTACTCTTCATAAATTCTTTAATTTGCCACAAAATACCTTTGGGATCATTACATTGGCTTTTGTTTTTGTCTCTGTGTGTGATTTAACACTGGAATTATTTGACTTTGTATACATTAGGTTCTGCTGAAGGTTGCATTCATAAAAGCTAAGAAACTGAGCGGCAAACTATGCCACAATGTCAAATCAGGAAAATAAATAGCTCTACAAATTCTTTAAAGATGGCTCTCTAGGGTGTGGACAGAGCACTTATCTCTTGTCCTCAGCATTTAGCACAACAGTGCTAGGATTGGGAGACGGAGCCTTGGCAGATTGCTGGGCCGGATTTGGGCCACTTTGAGTTTGCCTGGTAAGAAACCATCAACCAGTGCGTATCTCTTGAGTAGAGATGTTATATGCTGACAGGGTCTCAATCATGTCACCAATTGTGCTGTAGCATTCTGCACTGACTGTAGTTTCCAGGTCAATAACAAGGAAAGCCCTACATAGAGTCATAGAATCATAGAATCATAGAGTTGGAAGAGACCACAAGGGCCATCGAGTCCAACCCCCTGCCAAGCAGGAAACACCATCAGAGCACTCCTGACATATGGTTGTCAAGCCTCTGCTTGAGTGCATTGAGTGCATTGCAGCAATCCAAATTTGAAGTCACCAGTGCCTGAACTACTGTGATCAAGTTCTCCTGGTCCAGGAATGGACATAGTTGTTGTACAGAGCCTCCGTTTTGCCATGATTCAACTTCAGCTTATTTTCCCTCATCCATCCCACCAATGTGTCTTGGCACTGGTGCAGGGCCTCTCCTGATTCAAATAGAGTTGGGTGTTGTCAGCCTACTTGCTAGCTAACACCTTGTCCCCAAACTCCTAATTACTGTTCCCTGTGACTAAAAAAGGTAAAGGACCCCTGAGAGTTAAGCCCAGTCACAGACGACTCTGGGGTTGGGGCACTCATCTCGCTTTACAGGCCGAGGGAGCCGGCGCTTGTCCGCAGACAGTTTTTCTGGGTCATGTGGCCAGCACGACTAAGCCGCTTCTGGCGCAATGGAACACCAAAACCAGAGCAGCGCACCGAAACGCCTGTGGCTACACTACATATAAATTTGTAATAGCATTGGAGATAAAATAGTGCCAATGCCAATGCCAAAGCAATCTCTCGATGCTATTCTCTGGACTCGGTCCCATAGGTAAGACCAGAACCACTCTAGCACAGTGACCCCAGTTCCCATTTCATAGAGGTGGTCTAGGAGAATATCATGGTGAATGGTACTGAAAGCTGCAAGAGAGATCAAGAAGCAGGAGCGTGGTCTCTGTAAAGGGTATCCATCAGGACAACCAATGATCTAAGATGCAGAGAGAGATTCGCTTTGATTTGGAGAATGATGAGCACCATAAAAGGTTACACTTGCAGAATAACCTTTATAGTAGGATAGGAGAGCTGAAAAAAATCATATCAGGCAACCAATGTGCCCCTTTGTTTTCAGATAGTACATGGGAAAATGAGTCTAAAAAGCCCTGGACATAAATGTTCATAGCTATGGTGGCTCATTTACCAGAAGTAATGTATTTAGTGTTAACTCTGGAAGCATGTACTTAATTCTGACCAAACTAAGCCTCCTAGAACAAGTACCTCCTGTGTCCCAGGCTTTTTAGACTTGTCCACCCATGTACTATCTAAAACCAAGGGGGCGCATTGGTTGCCAGGTGTGAAATATATTGCCATTGTTTGCAGCTCTCCTACCCCACCATTTAACTCTGGGAGGACTCTCCTCTTCCTTAGACTTTCCATCTTGCCGCTCTGCTCAGTTGAGTGTTCTGTACGCTTGTCCTAACACCTGGTACATGATGGGCTGAATTGGTGACATACTTACTTTAAAGCAATTTGTAACAGTTGAAATTAACAAGACAACTGTTTGATAGGACTGTGAATCCCAATTTCATTTCTTCTCCTCAAGATCATTATTGTAATACTGTATCTTCGGAAAATTAAATTGAAATATTTCAATAGCTATTATCTTTATTTTGGAGATTATCTCGATTGGGAGAAATTCTTCTTTAGGCTAGTTTTCAAAAGTCAGTTCGACAAATCCTCCCCAAAACTGTATTCAACGCTGTTGCAGTTCAATGATGAAGCAGATAAATTTTGTAAATATAATCCCATCTGTTAATATTGGGTACAGGACCATAATCGAACACTTCATCCTTCCAACAGAAAAGCTGAATGGTTTTATGGTCCAGCAAAGTTAAGATTATATCCTGCCCTGTATGGGAGCACTCTAAATTATGCACAGTCTATAAGCCACTTGTGAAAGTTTTATTGAATCAAACTTGAATTGGAGATATTAAATAGCAAGCCAATAATGGAAGACAGATGTCTTCAGAATTTCTATTTATTTTGGGGTTGGGTGTGTTGTTTTGTTTGTTGTTTTGTTGTTTTGCAGGCTTAGTTGACTGTGTTTTGATGCCTGAATGAGGGACGCTATGAAATGAGAAGTTAATTTTTTTAATTTGCCTTTTCGATTTGCACATAAAGGCCACAGGCTAGAACCCTGCCCTTCTGAAGAAGGGGTGGAGTAGCTTCTTATGAGACTCCAGTATGAATGATCCTTAACACCTGCAATGCCACCCTCATGCCTAGTGCATCAGCTTGACAAACCAGTCACTTAAAGGCAAGACTGCGCCTCACCTTAGGACACTAAGCTGCCTAGGCTTGCCTAGGCCCTGTGAGCAGCTCTCTCGTCCTGCTTTTGTTGAGTAATATGGATGCTAGGGACATGGAGAAGAAACAGGCTGCTGGAGGCTGTAAGGCGAGGTGTGTGAGGGCCTCAGCTGGAAGTGAATTGCCACATCACACTGGATATGAGGCTTTGGGCAGATCCATACCACACATTTAAAGCTAATGGCTTTCTCCAAAGAATCCTGGGAACTCTCATTTGTTAAGGGGGCTGGGAGCTGTGGATCTGTGAGGGGAAACTAATAATTCCCAGGATTCCTTGGAAGAATCGGGGGGTTTAAATGTGCATTGAATGGGATTTAAATGTGCACCTGTCCTCAATAAGAAGGAACATATGGTTAAACTGCAGGCCTTTTACAAGGCACTGTGACCCCTCTTTGTGCCAATTTGTAAAGAAATATTTATTTAAAGAAGTGATTGCTTTTATGAATAATCATTAACAAGCCTATGAAACATTAATTTGTGAATTTAACATTTTCAGCTACTTTTGGCATCAAAAGCTCGAGGATACAGCTATATCTGTCAGAGTGTGGATTATTCAGATAATGAATATGAAGTCAGGGTGAGTAGTAACTTATGTCAGTTGTGAAGTCTGCCATTTATAACTCAGCTTTTGAATTATTACTCTGCCAGTTTTCTGTTACTAGTTCTTTTTCTGTTGAGAACAAACTATTCCTGATATAAAGCAGTCACAAAACGCTTACTTTTTAAAGGACCATATTACGTTTTACACAAAAAGTGCAGTAAATCTAGACTGGGGCCCTGTGCCAGTTTCCCACCAAAAATAATATCCCACACCTGTAAACAGCAGCTTTGAAGAGGAGAGGAACAGCAACTCAGGGGACAATTTTCAGTGGGGCCCTGGATGTGGGCCTTGATGACTGGGCCTCTCACGGCTACTCTTCCATGGGAATAACAGTGTCTGGCTTAAGCATGCTAACATGTCGTTTCACCCAAAAATTCATGGTTTGTTGGTTTGTTTTGCTTAAAATCGTGATACAATGTCTTAAGCATATCTATCATTCTCTATATTCCCAATTCAAGTCATCCCATGCTTGTAGAGACAAAGCCAAAAGGACACAATTTACATACAAGAAGAAAGATTCAGCAAACTCAAGTTAGGTCTGAGGTTAGCTGATCCTCCAAAAAATCTTTAGAAGGGGGAAATCCCAAATGGGTAAAGTCAAAAACAGCTAGGCACCTTTCACAGATGAACTAAATGGGATTTGCTTTCTCCACTGTGTTTTTGTTTTGGAGCACCAATTCAGTAGTGTTAGATAGGTTCCTCTTGGTCAGACACTGAGCAGTATGTTTGAGTGTCTCAGTGCTGGCATTGAAAAACTTCAATCTTGTGGACATATACCTCCGCCACCCCAAAATCCTTCGTAGTTGCTTCTGCTTCTTGAGAGGGGGATTTCTCGCTTGCTCTCTGAAATATACTTGGAGCCGAGAGTGGATTTCATGCTCATTATTGAGCTCATAGTAGTGAGGAGTAATGGAAGTTACCCCAGGATGTCTGCTTTATATACATTATTTACACAACGGGCCCCACGTGATTGGCAAATTCTGGGATTCACCTGTAGGCCAATCAGGTTGCGGATTCACTTCCAGCTGGAGCTGGATTGGGTGGCTCCTGTGGACCAATCAGACTGCTGCATTCTGAATCCTATTGTTCTAGGGCCAATCAGACTGCTGCATTTTGGATCCTATTCAACTCAGTACATAACACTCTCCCTGCACACCTGTTCCCCTTCCTGCCTGGCTTCTCTGCCTCTTCTCTGAGCAAGAGGGTTTGATGCTGGTGCATGATGAGGCTGGTAGTGGCTTAGTGCCCAGGAAACTCCCCCCTGCTCAGCTCCTGCAGTGCAGGTTGATATCATAGCTGGATCCCTGCTAACTCAAACTGGTTTCAGACTATGGCTCTGTTGCTGCTCCCACTATGGAAGGGCCGTAGCTCAGTGGCCGAGCATCTGCTTTGCATGGAAAAGGTTGCAGGTTCAGTCCCCAACATCTCCAGGAAACCTGTAGCTGCTATGTAACTCCGCTGTTGCTTGCGGCAATAAAGGTGTGTTTGAGTTTGGCATGGGGAAAACTGAAAACATCCAGTGCTGCTGCCAACACCTCTGCCCATTTCCCTACCCCTCCTTCTGAGTTACTGTCGGCACCACATACGATCAAACACAATAATGGATTATTATTACCTGTAGGGGTGTGGTTGTGTATGTTAACGATGGTGACAAATTACAGTGGTACCTCGGGATGCGAATGGGATCCATTCCGGAGCCCCGTTCACATCCCGAACAGAACGTAAGACGCACCTGCGCGTGCACAGGTCGTGTTTCACCGCTTCTGCGCATGCGCGTGACGGCATTTTGACCGTCCGCGCATGCGCAAGCGACGAAACCCAGAAGTAATGCACTCCGTTACTTCCGGGTCACCGCGGAGCACAACTCGAAAGCGCTCAACCTGAAGCGTATTTATCCCGAGGTATGACTGTACAGGTGTAGTATGTGGCTCTTAGTTGCTTATAAGAGTGAGTGTAAATATGCTAAGCTTAGCTATCGTTCTTGCATTTAGCAGACACTTGCTTTTTGGATGCACAAATTGCCAAGACTCCATGTAGCACTTTGTAGGGTCCCTGCTTCAGTTCAGGGCACCTTGTACAAATCCAACTTCACCTTGGACAAGGCCAGAATCCTTCCCTTTTGGCTAAGGCATCATCACAGTCTTCTGCACACCCATAACACCTAGTATAGATAAAAATCATATGACTACTTCATAGTAAGTTGTCTTCATTGGCAGCTGTACACTCCTAGCTGAAACACATTTCCTTGCTAGTAAGTGCCTGCTCATGCTCGTCAGTGACCCCATGGTGACTGTTTCTGGGTTACCAGTTAATGGGCCCCAATTACCACTTATTTCTATACAGTTTTTATGTCCTGGTTGCGATATGAAGATGCTGCTGCAGGTTACTCCATAGAAAATGAAAGACGCTTTAGGTTGCTCCATAAGAAGCTCTCCCAGGGATGCAGATTCAGATAAAGCTTCAAATGCAAATATTGTTTCACACCTAAGATCAGATGCTGATAATTCAGGCATTTTTAATCTCATGTTTTCAACTCCTCTTTGGGTTTGTGTTGCCGTGGCAAAAATCTCCCGAACCATTTGTAGGCAGCCAGTTGGCTTTAATACTAAGTCACAGAACACAAGTGTGAATCTGATCTTTAAAAATAATAACCAAAATTCTGAAGTCACAGCAAGCTGGACTGTGCTTTTTGATGTAGATGTACAAATAATTTCTGTACATAACCTCTTGTAAACTGATTTCCAGTTATTTGTGTGAATCCATGAGAGACTGAAAGCTGGAAAACAGATTCAAAACGAGGAGTTCCAGTACTTAGTTATTTATAAATTAACTGTATCAGCTTCTACCAACTGCATTGTATTACATTTAGGGAGGCAACATTTGAGTTTTGTTTCAGCATGTTTTGACGGACCATAATTCTAGTTGCTATTACGTGAATGTACTGATAAAATCATGGGATTTAGCAACAATAATTTAGTTCCCTCCCTGAAACAAACGAATGACTAGATGTTTCCTCTCTCCTGTTAATTCTAGTATGTCACACACAGAAGCAGAATTTCCACTTGGCCTCAGTTCAGAAAAACACCTACACTCAAGCACAGATAGCTATCTTTGAGAAATACTATAGGCGCAATCAAGTAGCCTCTGCTGCTATGCAACATTCATTAAGAATTAAAATGAAGAATCTCTCTGCGGCATTGAATAGTCTCCCATGGACCTTGCTCACACTTTAGAAAGGGTTTTAGGGAGTAGTAGACCAAACATGGAACTATCTTCACAGCAAAGACTCCTGTGAACACTATAGGCTTGAGGAACTTATGATGCTTTGATGTGTGTGTCATCTTTTCAGGCAGAATGTTCACAATATTGGTGATGGTGCGACATGTTCTGTGGTGCTAAATATTTGGATCAAGGAAGATGTTACTTGTGTGCTTGGATCAAGGATTATATTACTTGTATATTACAGATCTCTGTGTTGTGTTTGTTTTTTTAATATTGACTAAGTGTGATTAATTTTTCTAACTAAATTTTTGCAAATATTGAAATAAGAACTAGGAAGCAAAGACTAGGAAATAAACATCCTTCTTTAATGTTTGTGTCGTGTGGCATTCTGACTCTAAAAGTTCAGCATCCTACCTTATAATTAAGGTTGGTATTGTAATGCTCTGCCACAACCCAGCAGTGTTTAATTGCCTGGTTTGCACATACAGTCATACCTCGGGATAAATACGCTTCAGGATGAATATTCAGTGACCCAGAAGTAATGGAGCACATTACTTCCGGGTTTCGTCGTGCGCGCATGCGCAGACTCTCAAAATGACGTCACGCGCATGTGCGGAAGCGCCGAAACGCGACCCGCGCGGACGCAGGTTACGTTCACTTTGGGATGCAAACGGGGCTCTGGAACGGATCCTGTTCGCATCCCAAGGTACCACTGTAATGCTAAAGCTAATCTTGAATAAGCAAGTGTGCTGGTGCACAGATAGAAAAACACACCTACTTCGCTCCTCCTTTACTCCCGCCAGTGCCTCCCTGTCACTGGGAACCAACCCATAGACGCAAACCTAGGCTTGTGATTTATCTACCCTAAACTACATTCAGTTAGCTAATAACATGCCTTGGTTGCTGCTGATGGTTTGTTTGGAGCAAGACAAACCACAAGCCCGTGATTTCATGTAATGCTAAGCCAAACCATGGCTTAGCTCATGGTACCGCAGCAACAGCAGAAGCAAGGGAGGGTTGATGGCTACAATTTGCTAATGGTGCCAACACACTTGCTTATTCACACTAAGCTATAGTTTGGCTTAGCATTAAGTGCAAACCAGGCCAATGTGCACACAAGCTCCCCTTTCGGAGAACACTTTCCCAACCATTTAAATGGAGGAAGCCAGTTTACACAGGTGAGTTACTAAAACTGTGCTTCTCTGTGCACAAAAGTGCTCTGTGATCATCTAGATCAAAGTGTATCTCTTTTCCTTAAAATGAAACAATACAAAAGAAGTTGTGCTCTGCAAATTCTGCTTACTGGTAGATTGTACTTTGTTATTTCCCCCCCCTTCTTGTCATTAGTCTCCCACCTCCCGGCAAACCCCACCACAAACTATGTAGTACCCATTCAAAAAAGGCTAGTGCTGGCACTACTCAGGCATAGAACAAAGGAAGCAAAAACCTACTGTTAAAAGAACTCCTAGTGAAATCAGTTATCACAAACATGAAGTTGACTCTGAACTGCAAGGTATGAAGATCAGGGACCTCTCACTGACCCTTTAATCGTAGTTGTTAATGTAATCTTTCTATGCCATCTGGTGTCTTAACAGACTTAGATTTTACATGTATCAATGCTTGCTGGGACAGGGGAATAGTTAAACACATTTCTGAAATAATTCTGATATTTGGAACATTTTAGGCATTTTAGAATGTGTTATGATGTCATTACTGTCTGTCAAACTAGCTTTTATTAGAAGTTTATAGCACAA